AGGGCAACATTTGTAGTAACTGTTAAATGGGAGACTATTTTGTCCTGTAAGCCTTCATCTTAAGGGAGAATAACAGCACAATCAGAAGAGCGTAGTCAATGTCACTTAAATGTGTATGTAAAAAAAATTTTTGAAATGGAAAAAAAAAAAATTATGTAGCAAATTAAGGAGTAATCCCTTTATATGAGGACGTGTTCTCTCATTTATCTGCCACTTTCGGACTTTGGGTTTCTGATCCCTGAGTTACGTGTTTCGCTGAGAAAGCTAGTGAAGCACAACTATAGTGAAGCACAGCTGTACTGGAGTCTTAGAGACATTTCCTGCATGGGTCCCACAAAGAAAACACAGTGACCTCAAAACATCCCTACACTGAATAAATCAACAAGTCTTTTTTCTTATAAAACTTCTCGATGTAGCCTGAAAGCATAATGCTACAGCACTGTTGAGTGAAACAGGACCATACAAGTCTAAAATAATGTAATTCAGATAGTCTTGAGTAATCAGATTTCCCAATCAAGAGGAGCTTAATTTTTTTTTCCTGTTTTTGATCAGTCTTATATTTGGAGAGGGAAATTTTGAGGTCGAATCTATTTTCAGCACAGCCTGAGTTAATGAGCTCAGAACCAGCTAAGAACCCAGCAGACACTGGCAGTGACTCAGGGATGTCTCTAAGCAAGTTACTTAGCATCTTAGTGCCTCAGGCACCTGTAAGTTAGGGAAGGAAAGAGCTGACTGAGCCGCTATTGATTCTGCTGTGGAAAACCTTGAATGAAGAAGATCATGAATCATTTACCAGTATAAAAAAAAAAAGAATCTGATACAGCTAAAAATTTGTTATATATATTTTTCTTTCTTTTTGAAGATCTTGATACCCAGCTGACCCAGAATGGCTGCATTTTTTATTTTAGACATCGAGTTAAAGAATAGATCATCTTTATTAGCAGGCATATTGAAGGCAGTATGGTAATTAGACTTACTATCTGCTCATTTTTAAAGTAGGACAGGTCATACTCATTTCTAAAATCTTTTGGTTTAACTAAATTTAAACCATCTTTTAAAGTGCAATACCAGACTTCTTCAAAAGGGTCTTTCATGCTAAAATTTTATAGGAAGTCACAAACCAATAATTAGGTAGCAAAGATTATATGCTAAGGGAAATGATTATATATGGAGTGGATTCTAAAAATAGTATATTTTTTAAATCATATTCATCTGCCTTTCAAAACAGCTTTGGTTATTGATCAGAGTGTCTTAAGCTGACTAGGCTTTTGCTATCATTGTGTTGTAGAATGAATTTGGATTTATTTTTTGTCCCACGATTCATGACAATATTGGGTTCCCACTAGTGTGCAAACTTTGAATTAAGATTCTGCCTCTAGATAAGAAACTATTTCTAGTCATCTCTCTCACGCCAGATTGTAGGATCTCCACAGGTACGACTTCTATGTAAAAATAGGATTCTTTATTCTTAATAAGTTTGTTCTTAGTGTATCTTCAGTGATCACTGGCCCTGGCCTTCCTGTTTTGTTAAGCAGTACCAAACCATGCCAAGACAGCTACTCAGGCTTATCAGAGACCACTATTCCTGAGACCAAGCTGAATTTTTTATTTCTATTTTCCACTTTCATCGGAAAATAGTCACCTGTAGTATTCTCTTTTTCAGGGTGATCATGGTTTTAAGCAATCCAGAGATACTGAGGAGAGGCTCAAAGTTATCCCAAAATTTTGTTTTCCCGATTCAAAGGACTGGATGCCAACCTCAGAACTCAAGAGGTAAATGGGCTATTTTATGTGATTTCTGTTTGTTGAAACTTCAAATGTAGACTCAGAAAATTAGAGAAATGGGTAGAGCCAGCAGTGACTCCCAAGTGAACCCTGTGGCAGGTCAAGGATGCAGTGGGAGGAAAGGAAGAAACAGATTTAGAACATTTCCTACGTGGGGCTCAGAAAAGAAAAACAGTAAATAATTTCAGTGTCAGAGGGAAAGCAAATTTTCGAGTCTCTTTAGTTTGCCAATTCTGCAGGAAAAATAGTTCCACTTTATCTACAATCAGAAATGCTCCTAAGTGGACAGAAAAGGAACAAAGGATTTGGACTTTGGGACTTGACCTGGGAACAGTGGTAAAACAGAACAATGTCTGCGTCTTATTTCTCCTTCAAGTTTATAGAAGAAGCCACAGCCCTCATTGTGTGGTTTCCTGTAGAACTTGTACAAAGGGAGGCTCCAGTTTGGAAGGTGTAAGGGAAGGAGAGTAGATTTTTCTGGGTATATTGAGAAGGGAAAGTCCTAAAGCATTTCTCCCCAGTATCTAGAGGAAATCACCACTTTAAATTATTAAGTCCTTATCATCTCTTGAGTCCTGTTTGTAAACAGATAATTGCTTTGTTCAAAATTGTAATTATTGATGATCCTATTTAAGGCTAAAAAACTTGATGATGTGAATCATATCCCATGCTGATGACCTGCTGGATAATAGCCTCAGCTGTTGCCTAAGTAGCTCTGCCCTTCTACATCATGTTGCTTTCAGACTAAGCTGCTGTCTCATAACCAGTTTAGCCGGATTGCCATGTTTATCTCTTACCCATCAATCCTGATGCTCTTATATTGGCAGTTCCACTGTTAACCTCATAAGCAGCTTCTTTCACGTTGCCCTGGCTACTCTGTGATTGGCTTTTTTCCCCTAACAGGCTATATATGTTCATTCTAGAATACTTGGACAATGCAGAAGAGTAAAAAGTAGATATTAGAAATAATAGGCAATCTCATTATCCAGAGATAATCACTGTAACTATTTTGGCATATTCTCTTCCAATCTTTATTTTTGGCAATATGTAGACATATTTATGTGTTGTTCAAATTTGGGTTTCTTTGATTATTGAGTTTGTTTCTTGGGCATCTTGTAGATCTTTGTGTAAATTATCTATGTGCCTTTTGCCCATGTTTCTAATGAGGAGTAGATATTTTTCCTATTGATTTGTATATACTAAAGGTATAATCCTTTGCCTATCACTGTTCATGTGGCCTCTCAGAACAAAATATAAAAATTTGGAAAGGGAAAATGGCTTATCAAAATCCTTTATAGCTTACCCATATGTTTGACTAAACTGAACATTCAACAAAGGGAAAATAGTCCTGATTAACAGTTAGAGTGAATAAATAAGAAAGTAAATGGAGGCAATGAAATCAAAGGCTCATCTGATACCTATTCTGTCCCGCTGGTCCAAGGTGAGATATTCTTAAGGCCTGGACATTCTCCCTGAGAATAAATGTGATTTGCAATAAATGTAATATTAATACTCTCTCTTAGATCATAAAATAACTGTTGCTGGACCCTAATATTCAATAGTTTTTTTCCCATGAAGAATGTCATGAGTGATTGTTTGGGTCTCAAAATAGCTATTAACTTTTTTTTCAGTGAAACTTTCTCCTTTGTCTTGACTGGTGAAGATGGGAGCCGGTGGTTTGGTTACTGTAAGAAGCTCTTGGTAAGTACCAGACTTATACTACCAGCAGGGTTGTCAAGGAGCAGTAGGGTCAGACTAGGAACTTCAGAAACACTATCTCTAGATGGGTTTGAGGGCTACTTACTGACCTGTGTATTAAAGAAGCTATCTTAGCTGTAAACGGTGAGAACAAGGTGGGACTTAGCCATGGAGCACTTCAAAATAGAGGGGTATGATTTTATTTATTTACTTTTGTAATAGAGAAAGAAACTGCTGATATAGTGGCTAGATATCAATCTAGGTAGATCTGACGAATGAAGTACAGTGAGCCAATCCAGGGATTTCTGAGGGTTTCTTCTTCCATAGATGCCACTAGTCCACTAAACCTGGAATAGATCGTACTATAATTTCTAGCATGCCTCCCATCTTTCTCTCTGTGTGTTCAGTGAGAACAACCTTGGTTCCTGTTCTGTACTTAAGAGAGTATTAATAGTCTAACCAAAAGCTAAGAAGTTTCCTGAACATAACCAAACACTTTGAGGGACAGAGTAGCTGGGGCTGGGGTCTGGGGACCATGGTTTTGGGGGACATCTAGGTCAATTGGTGTAACAAAGTTTAAGAAAATGTTCTGCATCCCACTTTGGTGAGCGGCGTCTGGGGTCTTAAAAGCTTGCAAGCGGCCATTTAAGATGCATCAATTGGTCCCAACCTACCTGGAGCAAAGGAGAATGAAGAACACCAAAGACACAAGGAAAATATTACCCCAAGAGACAGAAGGGCCATATAAACCAGAGACTCCATCAGTCTGAGACCAGAAGAACTAGATGGTGCCTGGGTACCACCAATAACCGCCCTGACAGGGAGCACAACAGAGAGTCCCTGACAGAGCAGGAGAAAAATGTGGAGCAAAACTCAAATTCATGTAAAAAGACCAGATTTCATAATCTAAATGAGACTAGAGGAACCCCCGAAGCCATGGCCCCTGGGTGCTCTGTTAACTCAGAACTAAAGCCATTCCCGAAGCCCACTCTTCAGACAAAGATTAGACTGGACTATAAAACATGAAATAATACTTGTGAAGAGTGTGCTTCTTAGTTCAGGCAGATACATGAGACCAAAAGGGTGGCTCCTGTCCAGAGGCAGGATGAGAAGGCAGGAAGGGACAGAAGCTGGTTGGATGGACACAGGAAACTTGGGGTGGAAAGGGGGAGTATGCTGTCACATTATTGGGATTGCAGCTAGTGTCACATAACAGTATGTGTATAAATTAACTTGAGCTCTAAACTTTAATAATAAAAATAAAAATAATACACAGAAAGATGGGAGGCATGCTAGAAATTATAGTACAATCTATTCTAGGTTTAGTGGAACAATGGCACCTACGGAGAAGAAACCCTCAGAAATCCCTGGATTGGCTCACTGTACTTCATTCTGCAAATCTACCCAGACTGATGTCTAGCCACTATATCAGCAGTTTCTTTCTCTATTACAAAAATAAATAAATAAAATCATACTCCTCTATTTTGAAGTGCTCTATGGCTAAGTCCCACCTTGCTCTCACTGTTTACAGCTAACATAGCTTCTTTAATACAATAAAAATAAATAAAAAAGAAAAATAATAAAACACAAAAGAAAAAAAAGAATATTAATAGTCCAAATTAGAAAAGACTTGCGTGACTTTTGTTATTTTTTTCTTTTAGCCAGAAGGCAAAGGAAAGCGACTCCCCGAGGTATACTGCGTGGTTAGTCGCCTAGGCTGCTTCAACCTTTTTTCAAAAGTGAGTGAAAAATGAACTCTATGAAAAGAAATGAGCTCTGAAGAAGTTATTGTTTCTAATGACTTCACTAAAAACCAAAACCAAACGTGTTGCTGTCAAGTTGATTCTGACCAATGGCTGTCCCAGATGTGCAAAGTAGAGCTGCTCCATAGAGTTTTCTTGGCTGAAATCTTTACAGAAGCAGTTCACCAGGGCTTTCTTCCACGGAGCTACTGGCTGGGTCCAAACTACCAGCCTTTAGGTTAGCAGCTAATTGCAAACTGCTTGCACCAAACAACATTAAATGGCATAGACCTTAGAAAAGGTTCTCCATTAATAGATTAGGAACGACAAGCATGGAGGAGTAAATTTAGATGTAGATCTGTAGATCTCTAATCCAGCTGCTGATGCCATATAATCATCTATTAAGTTTGCTAAAACTCTCTCGGCTAGAAGGGTATAGCCTTAAGCTCTACCTTATCTCCTAATCTTTCCCAGACCCTAAGTTGCAGGATATCATTGTCAATGCCATCTGCTTTGCCCCTGCCTATGTCTCAAGTCCTTAAAGAACTGAAAAGGGGCTCCCCCCCTAAAAAAGTGGATAACCTATTTTAGAAACTTCTTGGAATCCCAAGATACCCCCACTACACCCCCAAGAGGTGCGATGCCTTTAATGAATGTTTATTGGTCACAGAAGCTTATCTGTCTTAAATTCAGTTGGTATTTCCGATATTTGCGAGTTTGTGCACCAACACATTAGCAGTTCCTTTGATAGAATTCTTTGATTTTTTTTATCTGAGTCCATAATAAAATATTTTGTGCATGTAGATTCTGGATGAAGTAGAGAAGAGAAGAGAAATGTCTCCAGCCCTGGTTCACCCATTCATGCGAAGTGTCATGGAAGCTCCTTTCCCAGCTCCTGGATGCACCATCACAGTTAAGAGCTACCTCCCTGGGGCTGGAGATGGGGTAAGTTAGTGGATTTTGAAAAGGTTTGATAACCTCTAGAAAGCAGGCTTGGTAGATTCCATAAAATCATCCTAATAGGCAGAGCTTCCAGAAGCCTCCCAACATCTTTCCTTTTCCGTAAACTATGAAGAATTTGGCTTAATCCCAGAAACCACTGCAGAGATGCCCAATTGCTCTGTGAGATAGTTGATCCTAGACCCAGGAACCAACAGTTTCTAGCTTACACAGATTGAATACCCTCATAATGATGATTTCAGTGTGATAAATGAAGGTTATACATACCATTGACAGATGGGATAAAAGATTTTATCAGAAATTTACAGCAGAAAAATATTTTGTTTGGGGATTCAGGTAGACAGCTTCATAATCTCTTTGTAGCAGACTCTATTTCTTTTATTTATCTTGTAAAAGAATGACAGGATCCATTATTGTTGTCATTAGATTCTTTTTCAACATCAGCTCCCCTGACTGAAATTCTTGCATTTCAGTCGATTGAACTCTGCCGACCACTGGATTCCCGGTTGGAACATGTTGATTTTGAATGTCTCTTTAAGTGCCTAAGTGTGTGTCATCTCATCCGGGTCTGTGCCTCTCTCCTTTTGGAGCGGAGAGTAATCTTCGTTGCCAACAGCCTAAGGTGAGAAATAAGTACAGTATTTCACTTCACACTGGTGTTTTACTTGTTCTTTGGGCATATTAAAAAAATGTAGGATCAGTCTGTCAATTACCTATGAAGTAGAATAATGACATGGATAATTCCAAATAGTTAATAATCCAAAAGTCATTTGCATTAGGCTTTTAGGCTATAGCAATGACTTTTTTGAGGCACACTAAATTTACTTATTAAAAAATTGTAGGCATATTTAAAAAATGTAGGATCAGTCTGTCAATTACGTATGAAGTAGAATAATGACATGGATAATTCCAAATAGTAAATAGTCCAAAAGTCATTTGCATTAGGCTATTAGGCTATAGCAATGACTTTTTTGAGGCACAATAAATTTACTTTTCAAAATGTATTTCACCTAAACTGTTGTTAAAAACTGATATTGCCTTTCTAAATACACTGATTTTTAACATGATAAATTGTGGCAAAGCTGGGTCGAGATTAAACATTTTTAGTAAGCTAAAATTTTAAATAGAATGTTAAAAATTAATGAATAATCACAGAGTTGTTATGATCATTAACAGGTATTGATTTATAATTTTTTAAAATATAATATCTGAAAGGCCTTCTGTGTTCCACCGTATGTTATGCCATTTGCTTTCTATTCTGGCTAGCACCTTGTCAAAATGTGGTCATGCTGTGGTAGCCACGCTGTATCCATTCACATGGCAGCATACCTACATCCCAGTCCTGCCAGCATCTATGATCGACATTGTGTGCTCACCTACTCCGTTCCTAATTGGAATCCTGTCTTGCTCCTTACCACAGCTTCAGGACCTACCCATTGAAGAGGTGAGATGAGAGACATGGTACTTCAAAGCATTGGGATGGTTGGCAGTGCATTCACGTCTGATAACTGAAAAAATTATTTCTCAAAAGGTTGCAATAAAAATCAATCAACATGGGACATGTTCAACCTTTTGTTATGAAAGAGTTAAAATAACAATGAGTTACTACTTTTAGCTATTCACATATTAAAAATAATACAAATATTTAGTCCTGGCAAGGGTATAATGAAAGAGGAAAGCAAGTTGGCAGTTCACTTCATATAAGCAGTATGTTACAGATGACAGGGCCCAGGCTTTGGAGGCAGACTAATTTGGGTTCAATTCTGAGTTCTGTAATTAGTAGCTGTGTGACCCTGAGCAACTTGCTTAAATTTTCTGAGCCTAAATTTCTTTATCTGTAAAACTGGAATAATAATAACTACCTTGCAAGTTTCCATAATGATTAGCAATAAAGCACCTAGTATCATAGCTGGCACACAGTGGACTGTCAGTAATGTCCTTTGACCTATTATGTTACTTCTGGGGGTCTGTCCCAGGAAAATAATCCAAAAGAATGATACAACTATATGCCTGAGGATATTGACTAAAAATTATTTATAAGAGTAAAAAATTGGGGAAAAAAAGTAACAGTGGAGAGAGAAGATGAAGTGTGGCATGTTAAGTTGATGGTACGGTGTGAGACAATTATAATTTTTCAGTCTATGTAGTGATATGAAAAATACTTGTAAGTAGAAAAAAGCATATAAATTATTCTGAACTTTGATTTACAACTATATAAAATTCTGCCTTTGGAAAAGATTGGTGCACTGACAAATGAAAACACATGATCTTTATGAGTGCTGAAGTTGTCAGTAATTTATATTAATATTATTAATATATTATGACCTTTTTATTAAATGAGAAAAACACTATAATACACTTGAGTCCAAAGTTATATCTTACTTAAAGTAGTGAACCATGGGCTCATTCTTGCCTTATTTCTGAAGGGTAGTTTTTATGTTTGTTTAAGTCAAACACAAAAACTACTTTGGGTTAACTTATGAAAATTGTTTCAAATATAACACACATATAGGTTAAGTGCCCAAAATAAAATCTATTACTCAGTGAATTATGTCAAAGTGAGCATTTGTGTAACCAAAGTTGGAACGGAATGGACACATTACAGCACTCCAGAAGCCCCCATCATGCCTCCTTCTAATCAATATTCCCTTCCCTACTCCCACCCCCAGTTATGCCTGGTTTTAAACTGTATATAAATTAACTCATACTGTACATATTTTTTTGGCCAAGCTTCTTTTGCTTAATATTATGTAAGTAAGATTCATCCATGTTTCTGTATGTAACACTAGTTTGTTCATTCTTGTTGCTATATAGTATTCCATTATGTGAATGTACCACAGATTATTTATCCATTCTATAGTTGATGGACTGAATTGTTTCCAGTTTAGGGTTATTACAAACAATGCTGTTATGAATACTGTTGCATATGATTCTTGGTATGTATATGTATGCAGTTCTACGAGTATACTTGGAAGTATAATTGCTGGGTCATGGTATAAGCATTTCTTCAGCTTCAGTAAGTAAAGTCAAAGTGTTTTCCAAAGCAGTTATGCCAATATCAACTCCCTCCAGCAGCAGTATGTGACAGTTCCTGTTGCTCCACTTCCTCACCAACATTTGTTATCATCAGTGTGTATAATTTAGCCTATCTGGTGAGTGTGTAGTGGTATTCTCATTGTGGTTTGATTTACATTCCTTGATTACTGTGGAAGTTGAGCATCTTTCTATATGTTTATCGGCAATTTGAATATCATCTTGTGAAATTTATTGCCCATCTTTCTACTGGATTGTTACCTTCTTATTGATTTGTAAGAGGATACCAGTCCTTTGTCTGTGGCTTGCATTTTCACTCTTCAAAATAGTGTTTTTCAGTCACAGAAGTTCTTAATTTTAATGTGGTCGAAATTGTCAGTCTCTCCCTTTATAGTTCATGTATTTTGTGAGCTACTTAAGTTTTTCTTTACATCAACTTCATGAAGATAGCCTCCTATATTATCTCCTGGAATCTTTATTATTTTGTGTTTCACTTTTAGTTCTGAATCCACCTAGAATTTGCTTTTTGTCTATGGTGTGAGGTAGGAATCAAGCTTTTTTTTTTTTTTTTAATATATTGCTATCCCAACAGCATTTATTGAAAAGACTATTCTTCCTGACTACTCTGCTGGGTTAACATTTTTTAAAACTTTTTTATTATGGAAAATTTCAAACATATATAAAAGTAGACAAGAGTAAAATGAACCCTTATGTCCCCACCACCCTACTTTAGTACTTTTCAGTTTATGACCTGTCTTTATCTTAATTTGTTCCTCTCTCCTATACTATTTAGAAGCATATCCCTGACATCATTTTATCTGTAAATATTACAATATGAATCTCTAAAACATAAGAGCATTTTTAACATAACCACAATACTGTTATCACACCTAAAACATTTAATAATGATTTCTTAATATAAGCAAAATCCAGTGTTCACATTACCAGTTGTCTCATAAATTTTTAATACTTTGTTGTTGAATCAGGACCTAAATAAAGTCCACACATTGCATTTGGTCGATGTGTTTTTTTTTTAAGTTGCTTTTAATTTATAGATGTGCACACCATTTTTTTTAACTTACAATTTATTTGTTAATGTGTTAACTTTTAAATGGCTACAAATTTTTTAATTAATTTTAAAACAATCCCATTGCTTAAAAGAATAAAAATTTCCTCCTAATCTAGCAGTGCCTAAGATATTTCTCTGTGAATGTCTCTGGTTTAACTTGCCTGGTTCCTTTATCCCATAGGTGCTGATAGTTGATCTCTGTGCAGACAAGTTCTTACAGGAGGTGAGTGACAAATGAGGTGATTACGTCACGTTTGGGGATAAAGGTCTCTCTGTAGATAATTAGACAGAAAATATGGGAAAGTACTTAGAAAAGATGACTCAGGCAAGACTTTTAGCTTCCATATATACTTAATTGAATTGACACTGTGGCCAGTCATACAAGATTGACCTGAAAATTTTGGCTTGCGTTTGTAGCTGCCTGTCCCAAGGAAGGAAAGAGGAAACAGAATAAATGTCATTCTCAAAAGAGGTGACCCACCCTTCAAGTCCAGATGGGTTGACATATAAGCCTCTAATTATATTAAGTTTAACAGGCGTTTATTAAACACCTATTAATTCTAGATATTCTGCTAGGCAGTCAGAACCTAAAGATGAGTTAGAGACAGTATGAGCTCTCAGGCCTCATAGTCTAATGTGGGGTGGGGGGCGGACATAAGCAATAAACTTAGAAACATTTAGAAATGGTAATAATAGAAATTTGCGCAAGGTAGCAAACCCGTTGCTGTCAAGTTGATTCTGGCATATAGTGAGGACAAAAAAGAAGAAAGTGGTCATTTATCCTGGATATTGAAGTGGAAGGGAGAGTTAGAAAAGCCTTCTTAGAGCAACTTGTCATATATAACCTGTACACAGGTTTGTAAGCCCTGAAACACAGGTGGAAACAATGTTCCCTAGGACTTTGTCTCTTTTTAAAAGTCAATTAGCTCATCACATTTCAGATACCCTTTATTTGGGATGATCTTTGTAATATAGCATGAGAGTTGTTGGCGAGAGATATTTGGAGGAAAAATGCTGGTTATTAGTATTATTTAAGACTCAGAAAAGTTTATAAAGTATATTATTTACTTTTTTCATATTTATGGCTGAGATATATAACCATAAACATCATGCTCAACATAGGGAAGGATACTTCAGACTGATTCTTTAGCCAAAAAATGTACAAAGCCACTGTGAAATTTTGGGACCTAACTAGTTCATGGTTGAGACATTCTTCCTCAAAACTCATGTGAAATTTCAATTTCTTCTCCTAAGGTATCTGATGAGGATGAAATTCTACCACCTAAACTCCAGGCTGCCTTGATGCAGATTTTGGAAGAGCGAAATGAAATCTTGTCTCAGGAGCAGAATTTTTCACATGGTATGAGACAAGTGAGCTAAGGACTTAGGGTCAAAGCTGTAAATATTTATAGGATGCTCAGCACCCTGTTAAGCACTTTTGGATATACAAAAGATGTGTTAGATTGCCTGTACCTTGGGAATTGTATAATTGGCTTCCTTGCTGACCTTCAGAGATGCCAGGCCCTCTTTCATTTCAGAACCTTTGAACTTGCTTTGTTCCTTTTATGGAATACTGTTTCCCCAGATATCCATATAGCTTCTGTCCTTTGCTCCTTCAGGTCCATGCTCAAATGTTGCTTTCTCGGTGGGGCCTTTCCTGACCATCCTATTTAAATTGTGCCCATTCACCCAGCACTCCCTATCCTCCTTCCATGCCTTATTTTTCTTCATGGCTCATCCTACCATCTGATGAGCTAGATTGTAAGCTTTGTGAGGGCAGTGACTTTGTCTGTTTAGTTTTTCATCCCCAATACTTTAAACAGTATAAAAATAAGTATTCACTAAATAGGTACTCAGTAAGTATTTGTTGAATAAATGGGTGAATAATAATATTCACTGGGTGCTTACTAGGTACCAGGCATTGGGCTAAGCACTTTACATACGTATAATTTCATCCTTGTAATATCCTTATGAAACAGGTATCATTATTTATTTAACCCCTACTTTACAGTTGAGAAAACTAAGGCTATTTACTGATGGGAACATAAGGGAAGGAGCAGGTTTAGAAAGGCAATTAAAAGTTTAGTTTTGTATTTTACGTTTGAAATACTTACTGGATGCCCAATACCTAGCAGATACCCAACTAGAAATGTCAAGTAGGTGTTTATATACGTGAGTGAATTTGCAGTTCAGAGGAAAGATTTGGGTTACAGAGATACATTGAGAAGTTGCTATTTAGAAGTATAGGACTAGATGAGGTTACCTAATAAAGTGAATACAGATAAAAAAGAACAAATTTAAAGACTGAGCCCTGGCTTGATTGAGAATGGTATCGTTTCTAACATTTGGCTGTTGGGAAGAGAAGGCTCCAACAAAGGAGCAGCTAGTGAAGTAGGGAAAAAACCAAAAGTGTGTGATATTACAGAAGCTGAGGTGAAGAAAGTATTTCATAAAGGAAAGAGTAAACAATTGTGTCTAATGCTATGAAGACTAAGAATTGGCCATTGGATTTGAGAATAAGAAGCTTTGGAGACCTTGATAACAGCAAGTTCAGTGGAGTGGTAGGAAGAAAAGCATGACTGGAGAGGGTTCAAGAGAGAAGTGGAATGCCATTCAGCTGATTCTGAAACATAAATGCAAGTACACAGGGCCAGGAATAGCCAAGACACTCCTGAAAAAGAAGAACAAGACTGAAGGGCCTGCCCTGCCAGACATCAAGATTAATTATAAAGTCATAGTAATTAACATAGTTTGGTTTGGGTGCAGGAATGAACAAATAGAGAAAAGAGTAGAGAACTCACATGCATATGGAAACTTGATTTGCATCAGTGCTGGCATTACACATCAGTGGGAAAGGATGAACTATTCAATAAATGATGCTAGGGCAATTGGCTTTCTATATTAAAAGAAATTTAGATAGATCCAGACATCACCCTATACACAAAAGCAGTTCCAGTGAATAAAAGACTTAAATGGTTAATAGCAAAACTTTAAACATTTTTAGAAAAGAATATAAAGAATATTTTATATCCTTGAGACGATGATGGATTTCTTAAATATGGCACAAAGAGCACAAACCATAAAGGAAAAGATCAATTAATCTGACTGTGTTAAAATTTAAAACTTCTGTTTATCAAGGGACACTATGAAAAACAAGCCACAAACTGGGTGAAGACTTCTGCAATAAAATATGATGGACAAAGGAATAGTATCTAGAATTTATAAAGACCTGCTTAAAAATTAGTAAGAAAAAGGTGAAAAAACCAATAGAAAAATGGGGGAAAGATATGAGTAGTCATTTCATAGAAGAGGAAATGTGAAAGGCCCATAAACATGTAAGAGAATGCAGTTCATCAGAATCAGGAAAATGTAAATCAAAACCACAATGAGACATCTGCCATATTGGCAAAAATTTAAAAGTCTAGCAACAAGTATTACTTAGAGTGTGTAAATTAGTTAAACCATTTTGGAAAACAGTTTTTCATTAGCTAGGGAAATTAAAGATGTGCATACCCTACATCCGAACAATTCAACTTTTAAATATATACCCTTGAGAAACTCTTATACGTGTTCAATACAAGTACAATATTTTGATAGTGGCAATGTATGTGATAGCAGAAACTAAAAACAACCTAACTGTCCATTGACAGGAAACTATAGCATTAAAAATGAGTTTTAAAAATACAATACTGAACAAAACATTAAGTTGCAGAAGAATACAGTGTTTTCTATAATGTTCAAAGACGTACCAAACATAACAATGTGTTGTTGTGGATTACATACTTGTGCAGTGAAACTATAATGTAAGGCAAGGGAATGATAAACATAGAATTCCAAATAATGGTCACCCTCTTTTGGAGAGTGAGGAATGACACCACTGCGATGGAGTCATGACAAAAAGACAAGGAAGCCAATCAAAAAATGAGCAAGGACTTGAACAGACATTTCATCACACAGGATATTCAAATGCGGTCAACAAGCTCATGAAAGATGCTCACTGTCAGTAGCCATTACCCACTGCCGTCGAGTTGATTCCAACTCATAGCGACCCTACCCTTTAGAACAGAGTAGAACTGCCCTACACTGTTCCCAAAGCTGTAATCTTTATGGAAGCAGACTGCCACATCTTTCTCCCGAAGAGTGGCTAGTGGGTTTGAATCACCAACCTCTCAGCAGCCGAGCACTTAACCACTACACCACCAGGGCTCCTCTCACTAGCCATTACCCCCTTGCAGTCGAGTCCATTCCGACTCATAGCAACCATATAGGGCAGAGTAGAACTGCCCCACAGAGTTTCCAAGGCTGTAAATCTTTACGGAAGCAGACTGCCCCATCTTCCTCCTGTGGAGCAGCTGGGGGGTTCGAACTGCTGACCTCTTGGTTAGCAGCTGAGCACTGAACTCCTGCTCCACCAGGGCTCCTTCACTAGCCATTAGAGAGATGCAAATAAAAACTACAATGAGATATCATTTCACTCCCACTAGGATGGCTAAGATAAAAAAAAGAAAAAGCAAACAGAAAAGAACAAATGTTAGCGAGGATGTGGAGAAATTAGAACCTTCATCCGTTGCTGGTGGGAATGTCAAATGGTACAGCCTCTGTGGAAAGGTTCGCATTCCTCAAAAAGTTAACATAGAACTACCATATGACCCAGGAGTTTCACTCCTAGGTATGGACCCAAGAGACTGGAAAGCAGTGAGGCAAACAGACACATGTACACTACTTTTCATTGCAGCACTATTCACCATAGCCACGGGACTGGCAGTCTGCTTCTGAAGGGTCACAGCCTTGAAAACCCCATGGAGCCATTCTGTGAAATCCCCATTCTGCACACACGGGGTTGCCATATGAGCTGGAATCAACTCGACAGCAACTAACAACAACAACAACAAATTGTATACCTGAAAAATGTTGAACTGACAAATGTTATGTGACATGTATTTTTACAACAGTAAAAAAAAATCAAAGAGAGGGAGTCACCCAGGGAGCTTCAGAGAGATTGGTAATATTCTGCTTTTAAGCTATGTGGTGAGTACTTGGATATTGATTTCATTGTTCACCTTATGAAATATTCATATATACCAGAGAATGAATATACATATACATACACAACATATATACATACATACATATATAAAGTATGTACATTAAAAAAGAAAGAATGGAAGATAAATTATAGAAAAAATAATTTTAAAAAGAAAGAGAATTAGATGAAAGAAAGTAGTACATCGGGTGTAAACAACTCTTTTAAGAAATTTTGCTGCAAGGTGGAAGAAAAATGGGGCAGTAACTGGAAGGGGTGAGAGAGCAGGGCAAAAGTATTGAAGGTAAATGCAGTGATGGGCCATGGCTTCTACACTTAAGAAGAAAAGAAACAAGAGGGAGGTTTGTTGAACAAAATATAATAAAAACCTACATTAGAGTCAAAACATAATGTGGAAGATAAGCCAAAAGAGGCGAAGTGAGCTACTTGCTATTATGTAACTGTTTCATGGTGGAACTGTGACTAAACCTAGGTCCCAGTCCAGGATGGAGTTCATGGAAAAGAGCAAGAGATATTGTGAAGGGGAGAAAAGAAAAAGATAGATTATAGGGCTATAGAATACAAAGGAGGAGTCTGAGTCAAATCTGAGGCTTGAGCCCTGGGCCTGGGAGGCAGTATATTTTAGTATATCATGGTGGTTAAGAATCACGTGACTTGGGAGTCTCTTACTAGATGAGATGACCCTGGAGAATTTATTTTATCATTTTGAGCCTTAGTTACCTCACCTGTAAAAGGGAAATAATATCTACCTACCTCACAGGACTATTATGTTTGTAAAAGTACTTAATACAGTGCCTGGTATATCTTTTTTTTAAAAAAAGACAAGCACATAATGATACCTTTCTTTTCTATTTATTGTAGTAAAATATATATAACATTTTATCCATTTTTAAATGCGTATTTAGTGGCATTAAGTTATATCGTCAATGTTGTGCGACCATCACCACTATTTATTTCCAAAACTTTTTCATCACCACAAACATAAACTTTGTATACATTAAGCAATAACTCCCCATTCTCCCCTTTACCCAGGCCCTAATAACCACTAATCTACTTTCTGTCTCTATTCATTTGTCTTTTCTAGATATTCATGTCAGTGAGATCATACAATATTTGTCCTTTTGTGTTTGGCTTATTTCACTTAGTATAATCTTTCTGAAGTTCGTTCATGTTGTAGCATGTTTCAGAACTTCATTTCTCTCTTTTTTTTAAATTTTTGTTTATTGTTGTAGTTTAAATGAAGTTTACATTTTAAATTAGTCTCCCATACAAAAATTTATACATACATTTTTATGTGACTCTAATTGCTCTCCCCATACTGCGACAACACACTCCTCCTTTCCATCCCTGATTCCCCATGTCCATTCAACCAGCTCCTAACCCTCTCTGCCTTCCCATCTCACCTCTGGACAGAAGCTGCCCATTTAGTCTCTTGTATCTGCTTGAGCTAAGAGGCACACTCTTCATGAGTATCACTTTATGTCCCACAGTCCAGTCCAATCCCTGTCGGAAGAGTTGGCCTTGAAAATTGTTTTAGCTCTGGGCTGATAGAGAATCTGGGGGCCATACTTTCTGGGGTTCCTCCAGTCTCAGACCATTAAGTCTGGTCTTCTTACTAGAATTTGAGTTCTGCACCCCACCTTTCTCCTGCTCCATTAGGGAGTCTCTGTTGTGTTCCCTGTCAGGGCGGTCATTGGTGGTAGCCGGGCACCATCTAGTTCTTCTGGTCTCAGGCTGATGAAGTCTCTGGTTTATGTGGCCCTTTCTGTCTCTTGGGCTAATACTTTCCTTGTGTCTTTGGTGTTCTTCATTCTCCTTCACTCTGATCAGAACTTTATTTCTCTTTATGGCTGAATAATACTCCATTGTATATATAATACCACATTTTGTATCATCCATTCATTTGTTGATGGACAATGGCTGCAGTGAACATTGATGTACAAGTATCTCTTTGAGTCCCTGCTTTCAAGTATATACCTAGGAGTGGAATTGTTGGGTCATGTGGTAATTTTACATTTAACTTTTTGAGGAACCATCAAACTTTTCCATGTAAAATGGTAGCTGAACCATTTTACATTCTCACCAGAAATGCATGAGGTTTCCAACTTTTCCACACCCTTGCCAACACTTGTAGTTTGCTTTTCTAAAAATAGCCATGCTAGTGGAAGTGCAGTGGTATCTCACTGTGGTTTTGATTGCATTTCCCTAATGACTAATGATATCGAGCACCTTTTCATGTGCTTATTGGCCATTTGCATATCTTTCTTAGAGAAATGTCTACTCAATTCCTTGGCCCATTTTTAAAATTAGGTTACTTGTCTTTTTTTTTTAAAATAATTTATTTTATTTATTTTTTTGTTGTTGAGAATATACACAGCAATACATACACCAATTCAACAGTTTCTACATATACCATTAGTGACATTGATTACATTCTTCAAGTTGTGCAACCATTCTCACCCACCTTTTCTGAGATGTTCGTCCCCCATTAACATATATTCACTGCCCACTAAGGTTCCTATCTAATCTTTTGAATTGCTATTGTCAATTGATCCCATATAGATAGATCTTAAAAGCAGATAATGCTCAAGGTAGACATTCTTTACTAGTTAAACTAAACTATTGTTTGGTTTTAAGAAGACTTGAGGGGATGTTTTTGGTTTAAGGATTTTTTTATTATCTCAGGGCAATAGTTTTAGTTCATTTACCCTCCATGGCTCCAGAAAATCTGGATTCCATGAGAATTTTAAATTCTGTTCCGCATTTCCCCCCCTTTTGTCAGAGTTCTTCTATAAACTCTTTGATCAAAATGTTCACTAATAGTAGCTGAACACTGTCTGGTTCTTCTGGTCTCATGGCAAAGGAGACAGTTGTTCATTGAGACAAGTAGCCACACATTCCATTTTCTCCTCCTGTTCCTGACTCTCCTTCCTCTGTTGCTCTGGGAGAATAGAGACCAATTGTTGTGCCTTGAATGGCCACCTGCAAGCCTTTAAGACTCCAGGCACTACACAATGAACTTAGAGGTAGAACAGAAGCACTAAACACATTATTAGGCCAGTTGACTGGGATGTTCCATGAAACCATGACCCTAAACCTTCAAACCAAGGAACCAAATCCCATGAGGTGTTTGGTTGTACATAAGCAGCTTCAGCAGCTACTCTTTTTTTTTTTTTTCTTTTTGTCATTGTTGTAAATATATCTATCACACAACTTTTGCTAATTCAACTTTTTACAGGTGTACAACTTATTGATAGCAACATTAATCAGTTCTGTAACCCTACCTGCCTGGCATATCTTAAGCACTCAGTAAATTATTTATTATGGAATAATCATGGTTCTATATGAAATGGGAAGGTTGAGAGGGAAACTGATTTGGTGGTGAAATGTAATGAATGTTGTTTTAGACATGTTGTTATCTGATTGACTTATATTCTACCAAATTCCAAAAAGGACCTGATAATGATGATTTGTAAACAAATGGAATTTAAGGTGCTACTGGGACAGCCAAATGATGATTGTTCTTAGGCAGCCGGAAAATGAAGAGAGGAATTTTGGTGACATATCAGGTTGGGAATTATCAACATATAAAGCCAGATTTTACTTCTGTGTCAGTTAGCTCTGTAAGGAAGGGTGTGTTGAAGAGAAGATGTGGTCTGAGGACCATCTCAGGAAGAGGAAGAAGAAGGAACAGAAAAACAAATGTTTGGTCATAAAACCAGGAAATCAGGAGAGCAGAAAGTTGTGAGAGGAGTGAGGAGGTGGTCAGCACCAATGCAGCAATAGAGTTTAAAGGAGAATAAAAATAGAAAAGCAGATTGAATTTGGCTAGTTCTCACTGGCGGCCTTTGAAAGAGCAGTTTCAGTGAAATCACAGATGTACAAGCCAGGCTGCATAATTTAATGAGAGTATGTGTGGGAAGAAAATGAAGGCAAGTGTATAAACCATTTGCTTTTCTTCAGATGATGAGGACAGCAAGAGAGAGCTAAGAATCTGGAGTCCTAGGTTTATTCTTGGTATGACTTCTTAGTTATGATTTCCATAACCAGAGCCAATGTTCACAGATACACAAAACTTAGGGTTTTTTTTTTTTTTCCATCTTGCTACAGATGTGACACTCAACTCTCTGGTGTCAGAAGCATTTGTCAAGTTTTTTGTGGAGCTGGTGGGACATTATTCTTTGAGCATGACTGTTACTGAGCGTGGAGAGCGTGTATTTCAAAGGGAGCCATTCCGTAAGTCCCATACCTCCCGAAGTGTACGCCACTTCCTTGATCTCTTCATGGAGACCCAGATGTTTGCAGGATTCATCCAGGATCGAGAGCTTCGGAAAAGTGGGGTGAAAGGTCAGTTTCCATCAGAAAGTTCTCCCTCTCTAGTTAGTAAAATTTTTGAAAATAATAGAAACAAAAAAGTAACAGCTACAAGGGCTCAAAATATGAGTTGTTTATTATGATAATTATTTATTTTGTAATATTTTGCCCATGGAAATACTACATTGTAATGAACACCAAGTTTTATTTAAGTAACTTTTAGTTTTAAGTGTTAGGCAATTTAACTAACATGAGTTTTCCTCATAGGTTTGTTTGAGGTCCGGGCCCTTCAGTATTTGGAAACAATTCCTGAATCTGAGCCCAGTGGGGTGAACAGAATTTTGCGGAGTCTCGGTGAGTTGCTGTACTTTCCAGGAGGATAAATGTGGCTAAAAAACATGAAAAATATGCCTCAATCACAAAGGCTTTATAGCCAGATCAGCAATATATCTGAATATTGATAACCTCAAGTGAGCTGACTAGAAACCATGACTGTAGTCCCAAAGTGTTTTGGAGAAAAAGACATCTCTTTCTAAGAGGTTGGGATTCCCTATCAGAGTGGTCCATGGGGCTGTTTCCCTCAGATGAAGCTCCCTGAACTAGCCCCTCATGACTTAAGAGTTTGCATATCATGATTACTAATCTTTCCTAGGTTAAATCTCTTGGAGAATTTTTTAAAAACTGTGGATCTTCCTCCCAGAAAAAATACATTTACGGCATACAAATAAATTTTGCATGTAATTTTAGGAAGTTCGTGGAGTCCCTGAAGCCCATCCATGGACTCCAGATTAAAAACACTTGCTTTAGTCCACAGAAGAATCCTGATCAAAAAGGGGAAAATACAGAAAAGAATTTCAAATTTTCATGGAATCTAGACTTCCTGGAGCTATGAAGGTTGGATGAACCCCTGAAACTACTGCCCTGAGATAATCTTTAAACCTTAAACCAAAAATATCCCCTCAAGTCTTCTTAAAACCAAACAGTAGTTTAGCTTAACTGGTAAAAAATGTCTTGCTTGAGCATTATGCTCTTTTAAGAACTATCTATACAGGATCAAATTGACAACAGCAATTTGAAAGATTAGATAGGAACCTTAGAGGGGCAGTGAATTTATATGTTAATGAGGGAGGAACAACTCAGAAAAGGAGGGTGAAGCAAAAAGTAACAACCTTTGTTGGTTACAAGGGATGGGAGGGGTGGGGAGGAAATACTAAATAGGCAATCGATAATTGTTATCTTTGGTGAAGGGTGAGACAGTCCACAATACTGGGGAAACCAACACAACTTGTACAAGGAAAGGTCATGGAAGCTCCACAAACACATCCAAACTCCCTGAGGGACTGAACTGCTGGGCAGAGGGCTGCGGGGACCATGGTCTCGGGGAACATCTAGCTCAATTGGCATAACACAGTTTATAAAAAAAATGTTCTACATTCTACCTTGGTGAGTAGCGACTGCGGTCTTAAAAGCCTGTGAGCAGCCATCTAAGATACACCACTGGTCTCATCCCTTCGGGAGCAAGGGAGAATGAAGAGAACAGGATACAAGGAAAAGATTAGTCCGAAGGACTAATGGACCACAGCTACCAAGGCCTCCACCAGACTGAGTCCAGTACAGCCAGTTGGTGCCCGGCTACCACCACTGACTGCTCTGACCAGGATCACAACAGAGGGTTCTGGACAGAGTTGGAGAAGGATGTAGAACAAAATTCTAACACACACACAAAAAAGACCAGATTTACTGGCCTGAAAGAGACTGGAGAAACCCCGAGAGTATGGCCCCCAGACACCCTTTTAGCTCAGTGATGAAGTCATTTTCGAGGTTCACCATTCAGCCAGGGATTGGACAGCCCCATAAAACAAAATGGAATTAATGAGGCACAGCAGTCCAGGGACAAGGACTAGAAGGCAGGAGGGGACAGGAAAGCTGGTGATAGGGAACCCAAGGTTGAGTAAGGACAGTGTTGACATGCAGTGTAGTTGTTAACCGTTGTCATAGGGCAACGTGTACTAACTGTTTAATGAGAAACTATTTTGTTCTGTAAACTTTCATCTAAAGTGAGAATAGCAGCCCAACTGGAAGAACGTAATCGATGTCACTGAACTGTGCATGTAGAAATTTTTGAAATGGTGTATCTTTGGCTATGTATATTTTCACCAAACAAAAAAAAAGGTCGAGAAAGGAGAGGGTTGACATGTCGTGGGGTTGTTAACCAATGTCATAAAACAGTATGTGTACTGACTGTTTAATGAGAAACTATTTGTTGTGTAAACCTTCACCTGAAGTACAATAAAAAAAAGAAAAAAAAAGTCCATAAAAAAAAACGGGTGAAGAATGTTATCAATGTCACTAAATGGTACATACAGAAACTGTTGAATTGGTGTATATTTTGAAAAACAACAACAAAATAAATAATATTAAAAAAAAAACACCTGGTTTGGATAAAATCTGAGGCAAAAGAGAATTTCCTGCAAATGTCTTGTACATCATAAAGAAACACAGTTGTTTATGTAATTTTTCAGTTACAGTTAACTGCTAATTATCCAGGGGATCTAGGAACTGTGGTGTGGCTAGTCCAAAACAACGAACTTACATTCTATGGTATTTATATTGGTCTTTGAAATATATGTTCCTAATTAGGCTTTGTCCTTGGCTGGCTGAGAGACCGTAGACAAATTTATGCCCTGGGCTGTTATTTCCTCTGTAAACGATAGTAATTGGATTGGATCTGTGGTTCTCAGCTCTAATGTCTGAGTTCTCTTCTACCTCTACAGTTAGACCCTTGGGGGTTTTGCTGGTTAATTTTAAAATATGTCATTTCAGAATACACATCACCCGATAGCTTACTTCTGGGCTATTCTAAATGACTAAGTTGTTAACCCATTGCCTCAAATAATCTACAATAAATACAAGTGAATTAATGAGAGTTTACTCTTTTCTTCTTTTAGGAAGTAAAATGAAATTTCTCCAGAAGAAATGAAATCTTTGATTGACTGTCTCCATCTCAACTAGAAGAGAATGTGCCAAAGAAAATATTTTTCTGAGAGTCAGGATGCCCTGAAGTTTGTTTCTCCAAACTCCTTGGAAGTTTAAAAGGTTGCAGAGTGAGGCTGGCTGTCAGAGGAGGATTCTCCTGCTGTAGTAATCACTGGAGGATTGTTGGGAGTAATCTGGAACCAGTACTGTCTTCACTCTGCCTCCAATTTTTTTTTAAAGTTGCCTTTTCTACTTGATATTTGGGCTCATTGTATGTGTTTGTGCTTAGTCTAGAGGGAAGGTACTTGCCTTTTGTAGGGGACAGACTTGTTGGTTTTGCATTTAAAAAACAGCTCAAATGTGAGCATAATGAGGGAAATGCCGAGATTAGGGTACTAGAGAGGCATGACAGAAGTGGAGAACACTAGCCCTACACACATAATTCTCATCACTGAAATATCATGGCAGCTTTAACCCCGTGGGCTCTTTGAGCTGGGCTAAGTAATATAATCCTATAGCTCCTGGTTTTCTTGTTTTTTGTGTTTTGTCTCATGTTCTACCTAGGAGAATCCCACTTATGTGGAAACTCTACTTGTTGGGACTGGTATTGAGTACTTCATAAAAGCAGACATCTTTTAGCTCCTCCTCTACAATATGTGGCACTTGGGTAGCTTGTCCCTCATGTGTCAACATTAAACTTTGTGGAATTACAGTTGCTAGGAAAATGTCCTTCAAGGACATGGGAACTACCTTTTTTTAAATTATCCATCATGTGCAGTATACTATGCTACATGTATGTATGTCATCTTATTCAATGCTTACATCAACTTTATGAGATAGATATTTGCATCTTAATTTTACTAATGAAGAAACTGGAATTCAAAGAGGTTAAATAACTTGCCCAAAGTTATATAAAGGAGCCAGTATTGAAGCCCAGGACTATTATCTTATGTATACAGAGAAAGTTGGTTAGTACTGCAGATGGAAATTTGAGCTCTGTGGGATTTAGCTATTTAAAAAGGAGTCCTATTAAGCTGAAGCATACCAGAGCCACCTCCCAGCTCTGAGGATGAGGGAGTCAAACTATAGTGCCTGAGATGGGACTCTTTTTTGGTTCCCCTGGAATTGTTGGACTTTTTGCTGTAATCAAATTGGACTCAGAATTATGAACTTTCCTGGACACACTCCACTTAACCACGCAGACCCTCAGTATCTAAACTAGTTTATTAGTCATTGGAAAGAGGAATTTGTTAACAAGAGTCAATTTTCATTGGTAAATGTTTTGGCAAATGTCAGTCTGTTTTCTTCTTCAACCCCTGCTAATGGTTTTAACTGGCATAAAAAGTATTTATTCAAACTTAACAAAACCTTAAAAGTTGTATTGTGCTACAATTTACTGACTTGTACAGTATTGTTATAACAATGCATTCAAGTGTGCATGCATGAATCTGAAGCAGACACCATGTAAAGAACGGTGCCGTGTAATATAATTCCTATAGATGTGGGTCCAGGGAATAGAACTGAGCCCATGTCTTATGAAAAATGTTTATCAAGCAGCTTACCGCAGTGGGGCTCCTACCAGACATCTCCCCATTTGGTCTCTTCTAACACTCCAACCCTGAGGGGACAAACAAGTAGTAATTGGGAATTCAGTGTGTATAAAATGGGGGTAAGAAGGATTACTTTGGTGTATTACTTACCATCCCTCTATATGAGATCTTTGCTTCAGGATGGGGGCCTTTATCCCTGCAATTTGAAGCTGCTTCCCTAGGTCTGTGTCATGGTTTGAATTATGTCCCCCAAAAAACTGTGTATCAATTTGGCTAGGCCATGATTCCTGGTACTGTGTGATTTTCCTGTATATTGTAAACCTGCCCCTGTGATGTTAATGAGGGAGGATGGGTGGCAGTTGTATTAGTAAGGCAGGGCCTGATCTACAAGACTGGATTGTGTCCTGAGGCAATCTCTTGAGATATAAAAGAAGTGAGCAGTGAGACAGGGGGACCTCATACCATCAAGAAAGCAGTGCCGGAAGCAGAGCGCGTCCTTTGGACAGGGGTCCCTGTGCCGAGAAGCTCCTAGTCCAGGGGAACACTGATGAGAAGGCCGACAGAGAGAGAGACTTCCCCTGGAGCTGACATGCTGAATTTGGACTTTCAGCCTACTTTGACTGTGAGGAATAAACTCTTTGTTAAAGCCATCCACTTGTGGTATTTCTGTTATAGCAGCAGTAGATGACTAAGACAGTCTGTTATATTTTGTTTTTGTAAAGTGTTATGAATTCTGGACATGTTTGTAAAAGATTTGCCCAAGATTTGTATAAAATGTTGTTTACAGATCTTTTAAAGAATAAACACATAAAAATCCCACAGATGTCTGACAATTTTAAATAAAATTAAGATTTAGAAATCTTATTTTTTTAAAAAAATTGCCATCAAGCCGATTCCGACTCATGGTGACCGCATGTGTTACAGAGTAGAACTGCTCCATTGGGTTTTCTTGGCTATAATCTTAACGAAAGCAGATCGATCACCAGGCCTTTCTTCCATGATGCGCTGGGTGGTTTGAATCAACCTTTAGGTTAGTAGTTGAGCCACCTAGGGACCTAGAAATCTTGTCTTCCACTTAAATCTGCAAGTAGACATTTATCTAAATAATGGTAAGTTAGAAAGCTAATCAAGGAACCTTGGTGGTGCGGTTGTTAAGAGCTCGACTGCTAACCAAAAGGTCGGTGACTAGAGTCCAGCAGACGCTGAGCAGGAGAAAGATAGGGCAATCTGCTTCCCTTTACATTACCAAAAAGCAAACTGAATCCATTGCCGTTGAGTCGATTCCAACTCTTGGGACCCTAAAGGACAGAGTAGAACTGCCCCATAGGGTTTCCAAGGAGTGGCTGGTGGACTGGAGCCGAGCTCTTAACCACTGCACCACAAGGGCTCCTCTGTATAGATTACAGCCTTGGAAATCCTATGGGGCAGTTCTACTCTGCCCTATAGGGTCGCTGTGAGTCAGAATCCACTCTTCAGCGCACAACAACAGAAAGCTAATCCAAATCCATTTTATACCAACTAGGCTTAATAACTGTGGCGAACATTTCCAGGCTCTTGGCTGACAAAGCCTGGGTCTAAATTGTACACTGGCCACCGGACGGTATATAGTCCAACAACTTATTTGGTCTTTGTCTGCTTCATCAAAGGACGCTGAGAGCCACGTACCAGACAGGGCAGTGCAGTGCAGTGCACGAGGGTGGTTGGGGGGCGATGAGGAGGGCTAGTCTACTACTGGAAGTCCTAGAGGCAAAATGACTGGATTTTATATATGACCTAAAAGCAAAATGACGGGATTGTTAAAAGCTGGTGTTGATGGGCGGTTATCAGTCTCGCTGTGGATTCTTTTGTTCCACAGACACCAAGTTTCACAATTTTAACTGGAGACTGGCGTCCACTTCTCGAGTCTGAAAGAACTTCACTAATCAATGCAAATAGTCTCAGGGCGCCTAAAGCGAAGAATACTGGGGGTGCTGCAAGGAAATGCAAGAGGAGGAAAGCCCAGCCACAAGGGGAGAGACGTTTAAGGGAAGAAGGAAGGTTAGAGGAGTAAGCAAATTTGGTAAACCAGTTTCTCTCCCTGCCAAACCCTGCAGCCAGCTGCCGCAAAAAGTTTTAAAGGGCTCCTCTCCCAGATTTCAGTTTCTTAGATAAAAGGAAAAGTACCAGCCTCTTCACCAAACTGCTTCCAGTCGGAGGAAGAAAAAAAAATAGCAGGAGGGAGACAGAAAACTGAGACCTTCCGCTAACGTTGGGAATCCCGGACGTTACGTCACGGCCGACCAAAAGAAAATAGCCGAGCAATTCTAAGGGGCGGGACGAGCGCGCCTTCAGAACTGGCAATTGAGCATGTGCTAAGGCCCATGCGCAGGCGACGTGGATTACGTCCGTGGTGGGCGCAGGCGTAATTACGAGCACTCGAGTTTGCGCAGACTCAAAAAACTCAGTGGAATCGAAGGTTCGTGGAATGGCGGGCACGGGTTTGGTAGCCGGAGAGGCTGTGGTGGATGCACTGCCCTATTTTGACCAAGGTTATGAAGCGCCTGGTGTGCGGGAAGCGGTGAGTGAGGGGTGTCTGTGTAGCTGACTCAGCGGTCGCTAGACTTTACAGTGCTGAAAAAAACACGTAACAATTTGCCGCCCCTAATCTGGCCCCTGTACTGTTCTCAGGCTGCGGCGCTGGTGGAGGAGGAAACTCGCAGATACCGACCTACGAAGAACTACCTGAGCTACCTGACAGCCCCGGATTATTCTGCTTTTGAAGTAAGTGGGATGTCTTGAGCGTGGCATATCAAAGAGAATTCCATGAATCTTTATTTTCGATTGAGAGTAAAAGCGAGTTTCATATTCCAGCTTCAGCTGTTGTTTGCTTAGCTGTTACTTACCGTGTCATATAGGTATCCGTCTATGGAAAACAACTGGATAGGTAAGCATTCTCCGGGCTTCTTATCCTGAGATTCTTAAAGAGGGACTTTTGGGGGGGGGAGCGGGGGGACGGTCCGCGAACTCCCAAGCTTAATGCAGAAATTTGTGTGTACATTTTTTTCTGAACTGGGGTCCATACATAAATTCTCAAAGGAACCTGCTACTCTAAAACAAGTGATCTAGTTTTGTGTGTTGTTTTTTAATAAACTTAATTACCTTGGCTCTTGAGAACCACTGGAGGGCGAGCTTTGTATTTACTAAATGAATGAGAATGACGGAATGGGCAAACCAAATTACCTATACAGGTATATCCCGCTTTTCAAAGTTTGCCTTTCGCCACTTCGCTTTCACGAAGGACCTACATGAGTACCTGTTTTCACTAACAGAAAGAAATCCCAAGAGGGATTTCGATGTTACGAAACGCAGAAGTAGCGTTCAGCGTTTGTTTTGCATCTAGCCGTTAAAGAGGCAGCGAGAGTGGCGTCGCCAACCTCCTTCCCCGGGAATTACATTCAGCATCTCAGCTTTTACTGTATGTTAGTATTATTTTAGGTTTTATGTGTTATTTGGTATAATTTGGTAGGTTATTTTTTGGGTCTGGGAATGCCCAAAAATTTTTCCGATACAAATTAATGACAGTTGTTTCTTTGTTGTATGCCATTTCGGTTACCAGAGGTTTTGTAGGAACTCTCTACTTTTGGATAGCAAGGAAAACCTGTATATCGTTTTAAATTGTTTATCTTAGGAGTGAACCCGTGATACTAATTATGGTCTAATCTGCTGAATGTAAAATGTTTCTAAATTATTGGATTGTTTTAGACATCCAGAACATAGTATGTTTGGGGTTCCACCTCCCCATTACTTATTACCATTTAATTTAGAAAGGATTTTGTTATTAAAAACCAACATTGATACTGAAGTTACATGAAAAAAATGTTGGTTAAATTTTAAGTGGAAGAGAGATGTTCCTTTGAAATGTCATTTCATATAGAAAACAAAACCAAACTCACTGCCATCGAGTTTATTCCAACTCATTGCGATCCTATAGGACAGAGGAGAACTGCCCATAGGATTTCCAAGGCTGTAAATCTTTACAGAAGCAGATTGCCACATCTTTCTCTCTCAGAGCAGCTGGTGGATTCTATTTTCCCATACTTTCTCTAAATGTAGTTACCCCAAACCAAAAAACCCATTGCAGTCGAATCAATTCTGACTCCTAGTGACCCTAACAAACAGAGTAGAACTGCCCCATAGGATTTCCAAGGCTGTAATCTTTACGGAAGCAGACTGCCACATCTGAGAAAGCTGTGGAGCAGCTGGGGTTTGAACCACTAACCTTTTGGTTAGCAGCTGAGCACTTAATCACTGTGTCACCAGGGCTCTTTTGTAGTTACCCAAATGTGGATTATTTTCACATTAAGTACAAAGTACAGTAATGCTTCCTTATTGGACTGATACCTGAAACTTTTTTTTGTTGTTGTACTTTAGATGAAGGTTTACAGAACAAATAGTTTCTCATTAAACAGTCAGTACACATACCGTTTTATGACATTGGTTAACAACCCCACGACATGTCAACGCTCTCCCTTCTCGACCTTGGAGGACCTTTTTTTTGGTGAAAATGTACATAGCCAAAGTTACACCATTTCAAAAGTTTCTCCATGTACAATTTAGTGACATCGATTACATTCTTCCAGTTGTGCTGCTATTCTCACTATCCTTTTCCAAATTATTCCATCATCATTATCTTCAACTTACTGCCCCCTAGGCTTCCCACCAAACCTTTTGAGTTGCTGTTGTCAGTTTGATCTCACATAGATAATTCTTTTTTTTTTGTACCTTAAATGAAGGTTGATACAAATAGTTTTTCATTAAACAGTTAGTACACATATTGCCCTATGACAATGGTTAACAACCCCACAACATGTCAACACCATCCCGTCTCAACCTTGGGTTCTCTATCACCAGCTTTCCTCTCCCCTCCTGCCTTCTAGTCCTTGTCCCTGGACTGCTCTGCCTCATTAGTCTCGTTTCGTTTTATGGGGCTGTCCAGTCCCCGGCTGAACGGTGAAC